GTTTGAAATATGCATATAAAAATCATTACATATATTAACTTTAATTTTTCAATAACAAGTTGCTTATTTTAAATTTGGTTTTTATAATCAGGTTTTTATTAAAGGTCATTATTTACAAAACAGTTTAACAAATAAAGAAGATTAAATGCACTCTGTTGTTTCCGAGGTGTTCTTCCTTCTTACATTTTATGCTAATCATAATTAAAACAAATAGAAAATATTACTTATATGAATAACTTATTTTTTCAACAATTATGTTAATTTATTTCTAAATCAAATAAAATGTTATTTTTTTTCAGGATTTCTTCAACAATTATGTAAATTTATTTCTTAATTAAATGAAATGTTAATTTTTCAGGATTTCCAGATGCTTGTCATCGACGAGGGTGTTCTAGCCATAGCTAGAATGTATAGACGAGACATCCTGGTCTTTGATGACGAGTCAGACCAGAAGAAAGCAAACAGGCATCAAGCCTACAGACAGTATATACTATGGAGCATTTTGAGGCTCAGTACTGGAGAAGGGAGTTATCCCGTCTTATTGTGTCTGGAAAATACAGGATTAATATCCATACTCCTTTTCCCAGTTCACTGGGTTTATTCCCTCGAGGATTTAAAATTTGTTTTTAAAAGAAGCATGCCACCAAATTTGTATAAATTGGTTTGGATGGTACATAATATCACCAATTTCTGCATTGCAGAACCAGCTTTACCAATCCAGCACAAATGTTAACTATGATATACTGTAAAATTCCTATTAAACGCCCCCGGGGGCTAAACATTTTTCAAAAGGGGGGCTATTATTACAACACGTTTTTCCTAAATCCAAAAATCATTGAAAATACATTTAGTGTAACATGGGTTGGTAATAACATTAAAATGTGTTAAGATTTTAAAGTTCATGTGATACATTTTTGTGTTTACTATGAAATAAAATGTGCTCAAAATCGCAGTAAAGAATTTACCAAAGAGTGAAAGAGAACATTTTGAGAGAGGATTGGCACTTTTAGAGAGTGAACTTGGCATTTTTAGAGAGTGAACTGGGTGATAAAGAAAAGAAAGCACCATCCAAGTCGACAAAGCTTAATGATGAAGCTATATTCAGAAACTCTATTAGTATTATTCCACAGATTGAAAGAAAAGTAGCAGAAATAGAATTAAGAATTTTTTAAGAGTAACTGCAATATTGGATAAATGGGAATAAAACCCATGCTTCACTGTTTCATCAAGTAATACAGCAGTTATATACCTTTATCTATAGTCTTGATGTGTTTATCAGTGAAATTAAAGTAACAGGCCTGCTACCTCGGACACTTGAAATGATCAATTAAGCGTCTTCACGATTATCAGCTGATATTCATATCTTTAGTGGGTGAACACCATGGTGCAAAAAATAAAACGTTTGTCAAAATTCTCTGAAGATGCGCTCAAAATCGCAGTAAAGAATTTACCAAAGAGTGAAAAAGAACATTTTGAGAGAGGATTGGCACTTTTAGAGAGTGAACTTGGCACTTTTAGAGAGTGAACTGGGTGATAAAGAAAAGAAAGCACCATCCAAGTCGACAAAGCTTAATGATGAAGCTATATTCAGAAACTCTATTATTCCACAGATTGAAAGAAAAGTAGCAGAAATAGAAAAGATGGAATTATCTAACCAGAGATGTGTACTTAAAAGTCAGATTTGACTTTAGAACAAACTTCAATGGATTAACTGAGGATCAGCGGAGAAAAGCGCATGAAAATGTTGTTGCTTAAGAAACGGGGCTAAAGAGTCTCACATTGCTTGCCCAGCTCTCCAGAGGTATGTTGTTCATAACATTGGCAAGAGAGTCGAAGCTAAACAAACAGAATTGGAAAAGTTTTGTTTCTGATGAGATAAAAAGTTCTACAATGACAGTGCTACGCTATATGACACTCAGTTCAATTATTGTCAATTACCCAAGGCTTATTCTTTGTGAACTCTCTTTTACATAGAGAATATCAATAGATATATCAATTAGAATTATCAACTTATACAATCAATGAAACAATTATTGGCTAATAAAAATGTTTTTCATACTAATCAATTTAAAACAATTAAAGAAATTGCCTAATCAAAAATGTGTTATGCAGTTGATAATTTACCATAATTTTAATGAAAACATCTAAACTAAATAAAGGTTAACTATTGATACATAATGATAAATAAAAAACAAAAGTTCATTATTCATCAATTTTTAGGGAGTACAATAATAAATTATTCATCAATTTTTATGGAGCATAATAATACATTGATTAGAAACCTATGAAACAAGGGGATTTTGTCCGGGTAGTGGAGGGGATTTTGTCCGGCCTTGCAAAAAAATGAAGGGGATTATGTCCACCAATGAAGGGGATTTTGTCCGGGTAGGCGAAGGGGATTTTGTCTGAAGGGGATTATGTCTGACATTCAATAAACATATATATTATGTATATTTTGTTGTGAAAATTTGTGAATATAATACTAAAAGTATTGATTGAGGCCCTATTCAGATACAACTGCAATGAAAAATTGAGCTTTTCTTTTTGTTGTTGTTACTTTCTTTTTTCATATTACAGAGGGAATTAACACAAGTATTTTCTATTTTTGCTTGATCCTAATTTTTTGTTGTAAAATGCGATAATGTAAAGACATACTTAAATTTACAAAATAATAAACATTAAACAAATAGTAAAATGATCAACATATTTTTTTTTTCTAGTTACATAATTGACTTAAGAATTCTGTTGATCAGTTCTGGTATTTTTCTTAAACAACTGAGCACCATTTAAAACCTGAAAATCATGTGGCAAGCTTTCTATCATACATATCTTAATTCCTACATCCTATAACTCTAGGAATGCTAGATTGACCATAATGGACTTTTCTCATTTTTAGCAGTGAAAAATTTAGCCCTGCCTTTTCCATACATTGCTATGTCAATTACTCAAAGTGTCACAAATAAACCATGTCTAGACAGATCCATACAGAAAACAAGGCAGCCCATTATGTGCAAAGAGCACTGTGAAAATTAAATGATGTACCACTTTTGCAATTGAACAAATAACAATAAATCTCTTAATTGTAGACAAAGCAGTAATATTTACATTAAAATTGTTAAATGTGTAAAAAAAGATAAGCCTTTTATGGTTAACCAACAGATTAGGTTAACTGGCTTCTTGCAGAGAGATAAATTTCTGATAAATATAAATAAATCTCATTATACATTTACTTATTTAGTAAAATAACACTCTTATAAATGGGCATGACTTCAGAATAATGTAACATTTTTGGTTATAACAAAAATACAGTTGTAAGTTATTCAAAGCAATGGTTTCCAAGCAAACTCTTTACTTGTGAAATCCTAGATAAAATACGAGAATGAAAATATTGTCAATGGAACAAAAGTATATCCAATTAGCAATTGATACGAACTAAATCTTTCAAGTAAAACTGTAGGAATGCCCCTTTACAAAGTGACGTAATGCAGGGTTTTCATTATTAAAAGATTTATAGATTTGTGATCCATTTAATCAGTTACAATATGTTGTACATTTAGCCTGTACATTAAAATATCCCCCTTGACCTCTAGCTAAAAGTCTTGTTTTAGTTAAGCACATCTATTGCCTCAGATAAAAATGAAAACTCTGTAATATATGGATGGTCAGTCTTATTTATATGTACAGAAAAGCAACCCATTTGACATTGAAACAGTACTATAATTTGACCTTGAAAATGCAGTGACTGTATAATAAAACGAGACATATATTTCAGTTTTCACTTTATGTACATGATTTCACTAGGAATGAGAAGCCACTGCTCTTATTTTTTGTAATCTTATGTTGGGTAATTAAATTAAAATCTCATTTTGCCATTGTTTTGTTAAGAATTTATATGTTATATTACTACCGATTTTCAAACCGAAAGTTGAATTGCTTCCACAGATTTTGTTAAATACATATTAATCGAGTAAATGTCTAAAATGGCAAAAATATATGTTAAACCAGGGTCTTTTGATTTTATAAAACCCTGGCAGAACAGGAATTTTTGGGCAGTATTTTTGATACTTTCATACTTTGTGGACAAAGATTTTATAAAGCTGAATGTATTATAATATCTCTGACAATTAAACAGTTGCCAAATAATGAAGAAGGTTAGTCATCAGACTGGTAAATTTCAAGAACATATTACAAAGAAGTTGTAGATTGCAAACAAATCTGATATAAAAACAAGGTATACATCTGCTATTATTGTAACAGATGAAAATTGACCTCAAAGAATGGTAAATACTTTGTGAAGTTACGTATCTGAAAAATGATCATTTGGGTAATGAAAATAGTATTTTTGATGCTGAAAGAAAGGAACTAAATAGATAAGAACCAATTTGAGTAAACTGTGATTAAGTTAACTGTGTTCATAAAAAATTTTTATAAAGAAAAATTTTACAATTTTTTTTTTTTTTAAATTTCATGGTACCAGACCCAAAATAAAAACTAAAAGATAGATAAAAACTAAACTCATTTCACATCAACCTCATTAGAATTTTAAAATTAACAAAATCCTTATAGTAATCAGTTATATACATGTAAGAAGTCTTTGAAAATAATGCTACATCATAAAAACATCACATAACTTTAAAACTTTGCATCTGATTAGAAATGCTTAAATATGTATGACAAATTAAAAACATTTTTTTTTTGCTATTTTTTTCTGAATAAGATTGACCATCTTAAGTTACTTACAATGCTATAGCAAGTTATTAACATGCTATCATAATCAAACCTTGTTCTATGTCAACCCACTCAGCTAGAAACTTCACTATCTATGAATCAGAAATAATCTCCAATCAGACCTAGAGCTGATGATGTAGAAACAGCAGCAGATGGATAAACACTTCACTTGATTTCTTGTCTGAACTTTCACTACTCTTTTTGAAGTTCACTTGTTCTATGTTACTTGTCTTTTACACAGGAATCTTTAGAATTTGGTTGATTAATCTGTATCACATTTTTGAGATCTCAGAATCGTTGTTACTGTCATCATGTTTAGCTACAGTGACATCATTACTGCCGGAAGCATGCTCACTTGATGATATAGTAGATGATACTGATGGTAGACTTGATGGTTTTTTCCTCACCACTAAACCTTTCAGTTTCTGCTTTGATGATAAGCTTCCTACACTCTTCTGCCAAGATTCCTTTGGTTTCTGAGATGATTGGCTCTTATCACTCTATAAGTAAACAACAATAAATTATATTGACCCAAGATTTTTCAGGAAACAATTGTTAAAACATATCGATAGTGCTGTCCATTATCACCGCCTCCGTGGACAGTGTTTACAGTGTATAAAGGATTATCCTTGTTGCCTTTGTAACATACTTTACTATCTGCAAGACATGTAAGTAATGACCTAATTACCTCAGCAAGTATATCTGTAGGTTTAGTGTCAGAAGCTGGTGTAGTCATAGCAACTTTCTTTTTAACTGGACCATCTTCATCACTGTCCGAATCATTTAGTCTTTTAACTACCATGGTACCTTTCTCTCCAAAAATATCCCTAAAATACAGAGACAAAATAACAGCCAACCTGTTGTAACATATTTATTCAAATTAAGATAACAGTCAGACAATTAGGTAATGATTCATGATTACTAATCATCTTCTGCAGAGATCTGCCGAGGACGCGATTTTGCGCCATTGGCGCTAAAAAAATGAGAATGGCGCAGGCAAATCAGCTGCAAAGGGCCATGGGCGCATCTAAAATCTGTGCCAGACTTATAAGAAAACAAAACTGTCTGCTGGGTTATTTAGTCATCCAGTCAAAACTGGTACCAACAGCAACATGTTACCCATGCTCCTGTAATTACGCATATTCATGAGTTTATCCATTCCCCTATAGCTTTTGTCCATGTTATCTACTTACCGCATTTCCATAGGCACTTGGTTTCGGGATAAAAAGCCTTTCAGAGGTTTGTAGAACTCAAATTTGATTGAATGTAACGATTTTTTTAACGTAGATGTCTCTTTCCTAAAACCGTCATTTTCCCGATATTATGTTTTTTTAATAATATCGAAAAAAAAAAAAAAAAAAATGACGGTTTTAGAAAAAGAACATCTACAGGGTTCGACATAACTGTGTTTTTACCAATATCCTGAGATTTAATTCAGGATTCCTCCTAAATCAGGGATTCTCAGACATGGAGGGACAAGGGAGTGCAGAATTTGACAAATTCTTTTCAAGACTACATTCAGGATATATTGTCTTGTTTTCAGATGCAGAAAATGTAGTTTATCGATTTGAAAAGCGTTTCAAAGCTATATCTTGGCTGCTAAGATAAATTAAAGCAAATAAAACCTGAATTTTCTGAACCTGAGTTCGATTTGAAAATAGCGTATTGCTAAAACCTGTTTTCTCCCTGGAATTGATAATTGTGAACCAGTTTCTGTATCTAAATGAAGGTATAATGCAAGTGACTTGACAAGGTGGTTTGAATTTTTGAAGTTAAATAGGAACTGGGGAAACATTTTCCCAGATAGCCTAGGGTTCACTGAAATAGCGCCCACTTATCATATGTAGATCTTTAAAAAGTTACAGGTAATGATTATGATTAGGCTCCATATTCCAGAAAGGTCTGGTATGGATAACTGTCGATAATTATTTACTTTCATGTCATTTTTAAGGAAATTCTTAATTATGATCACTTTAAAAAAATATTTGATTTCATTTTACATTTTTGTGTTTAAAAGGAAAATCACATAGATTGTTGTAAATTAAATATTTTGATAATTTTTTACTTAAGCTTATAAAAATATCAAGAAACAGTTTTGTTTGCATTACAAGTACGGTACCTTTAAATGATTTCATTTTTAAAAATGATAAGTTGCTCCAAGTCCATGAAAGGATGTGCAATATTCAAATTTATTGTTCTCAATTTTTACACTGAAATGTACGATCCCTTTCCTCCCTGTGTATTGATTTTTTTTTAAGCTTTGACACCTGTCACATCAAAGGCACTCACCCCATACAGCAGTCATGTAGCTCGCAACACTGATTGGCTCAAAGCACTGTCAGATGAAATATACGTCATTTGCTGTATATTTCGTCATTTGCTGTATGTTTCACGTAAGGATTTTTGTATTTCTTGTCGGTAAATAATGCGTGACCTTGATTGACCTTAGACTTTAGTTAGACAATTTTTTTAGCATTGAAGGCTGTGAGTTTCAAAAAGGATTTTAAACTTAAAAGTATGGATTCTTTTTATTTTGTTTATTAATTATACTTTTGCTGTAGTCTACTGTAGGGAGAAAAAATACACCAGTTATCTTTTTTTCACAATTTTGACGAAAATTTACAATGGTCACAAGTGCCGAATTTTGGCAATAAAAAAACAAACAACAAACACTGGATAACTGTACAGTAGCTATCGCCGGCATTGCCGATCAACACAAATTTAAAGTACACATCGCTTGTGTAATAATTATACGATAATTACATTTCTTTTTTGAATTTTCACAACTCTATTTTATGAAGTCAATGCATGATATAAAATTATACAAGAATGTTTCTTTAGTCAAAACATTTTTGTCATTATATATCGCAAATGAGTTGATAGCAGTCACTGCACAAAGAAAAACTAGCGTACATAATTCAAGAGTGTAGATTTTACCGGCGGGTTTTTTCCTTTTCTTTCTTGAACCACTTTTCATGAATATTTGTGATTCAATGACATTAATTCAGAATTAATTTCAAAAATTTACACAGCAATTTTTCAGGGATCCCAACGGAATCCCCAGCTAGGAATCACAGGGATTCCTCCCGACTTTTTGGGATCCTCGGAATCCCGGGACCCCGTTAGTGTCGAACCCTGATCTACGTTAAAAAAATTGTAACATTCAATTATATTTGAGTTCTACAAACCTCTCAAAGGGTTATTTTATCCCGAAACCAAGTGCCTATGCATTTCTTGTCATAATCCCTTTCCCACACAGATACTCATTTCTACTACCGTAAATTTAATCCAATAAAACAAACAAACAAATTATACAACTACTTAATATTTAAAAACTGAAAAAAAAGTGTTGCTATTTTAAGAAATGCTGTAAGTTACAGTATAATCTGACAGGTGTGCAACTTGATCAACCCTAAGGTCACTCAAGTTCACGCAAGTTTTGGCTGATGAAGTGTAAAAAAAGATGTATATTTCGTCATCAGAATGTTTGACAGGGTGATTAACCAATCAGAGAAACATTGTGCATGACTTTTTTCATGATCAAAAGGTCTGTCGGCAAATGTCTTTGATGTATGCTGTCTACACAGAGGCATACAAGGGGCAATAAAATTCGTCAATATACAGTGGTAAGGGACATTTGGTGCAAAGTAGGAACAATTAAATGGATAATGCACAATACAAGACATTACAAGTAGGACCAGCAATTATGTGAATAAATTTGCATATCAAATTTTTAAGCAGCCATTTAAAAAATATTTTCATTTTTGCCTGCAATTAATATTAGTTAGAAAGTTACCATGTAGGCATAATTTTTAATTATTGGTAAAGTACTGAATTATAAGTGAACCACTTGTCATAAAATATGATTTAAGTTTTATTACCGGGGGCAGTTCAATTATCTACAAACTTTTTAACAGTTATTTTGGTCAATGTTTACTTATTTTCCCAAGGCCCATACTTTGGTAAAAATGGCCCATCATTTTCAGACCAAGTGGGCCCAGGGCCCAGTACTTTCAAATTCTTGGCAGATCTCTGCTTCTGCATATATGTATATAATCTTATCAAAAGGACAGTATTACTATTAATATCTCTGCACAAGGACTTCAAAGAAATAATCTGGTACAGTAAAGACTGTCTTAGCGACCCCCTGTATATAGCGACGTTCTGTCTTTAGTGACCATAGTTAGGTGCGCCGAACAGTATTTACTATATAAATGGTCTGTATGTAGCGACTCCCTGTCTAGTCCGTACAACGACCATGATTTAGTCACCCGTTACGGTATTTGAGCCGTGAACAGCGACTTTTGCAAGGGGAGCAAGGCTTGAACTAGGTGACGACATTGGCGAAGAAGTCGCCTTCGGATCAGCGACTTTGCCTAAAACAAACTTCAAATAGATTTTGAAGTCGCCCGATTTTTATATTTTTCCGTCATACTTATTTACGCCGCTAGGTCTGTTAATAATTTGTTTACCTCTCAATTACAACCAATTACCGTTAATCCGCTAATTAAGAACGCGTGTCAACATCAACAAAGTTAAATACACGCCGCAAGGCAAGAGTTCACTATGTTTATCTTTCTTATTACGTATTCATGCGATTGACGAATCAGAACGCGCGTTGTATCTACGGCAGTTTGCATTGACCAATCGGCGACACGCTAATACACTGTGGCTGTTTGTTGACAATTACACAAAATGGCGACAGATTCAATCAATTTTCGCCGATAGAATGATTAAAAACACCTGCATATACATAATTGCTGCGGTGTTTTGGCGAGTAAAGATAAACAATGCCAAACGTCTTAAAGGTGTGGTTATGTTTGAAACCTCGATTGTTAATTTTTTTCGGAGCACTTATCTGTAGAAATTATGTGAAGATTTGTAATTTTTTTTTATATTATTTTTGTTTTACTAATACATTGAACTCCGTAAAGTAAACAGGCTGATTATACAAAAATAAATGTCTCTACAGTAACATCTCATTAGTAAAATTGAAATTAAACAGCAGAATATCAAACTTGTAACAATAAGAATATTGTTTCCACTCATTCTCAGACAAAACAAATCTCAATCCAGAGCAAATCAGCTAAAAATTTGAGGCAAAGATATGAGAATTCATATTAAAGCTTTAGAACTTTCCTTTTTAAATCATAGACTGCAGTAGCTCAGAGAAACTGGGGAGTTAATGGTTAAAATTGTACTTTTTTGTTGTTGTTTTGTTTAACATGGTACCAACACAGTATAGGTCATAAAGGTGCTTTCCAGCTTTACTGTTTGAGGAGGACCTCAGGTGCCTTTTCCTGAATTATTTCATGCTCTAACAGGTACCCGAGTAGAACCATGACATTCCGCAAGCTAGCTAGATAGCTTCCTCTGAGAGAATCCAAAGTTCCTGTTGAGATTCAAACTCACAGCTTCGAGGAGCAAGTGGTTTGAAGTCAACAACCTTAACCACTCTGCTGCAGACGTCCCTAAAATTAGAGTTGGGTACCGCCAGAAAGAAAATACCACGGTATACCACGGTTTTTTCCTAAAAACCACGGTATAAACCACGGTATACCACGGATTTTCATTGTATGCTATATGTTAATTTTTATCCCTAAAATAAGTATCAAGGTAGGCTGGTATAGAATTTCAAATATTAAATTTAAGCAGATCTATAAAATACAGATTAATCAAAGCATCATTTAACTTTTTTCAATCAGGTACTTTCGCATGTTGACAATCATAAATTAATTGGGTCATGGATCAGTTTTTGTTGTTTTTTTAATTACATAGGCCTATTGGTTTCTTTCAACATTTAACAACTGTTATATAAATTGCATAGTTAAAATGGAAAAATAAAATGTTTTTATTGCTTATTGATTAATAAAATAATAGGTCAAATGCACGTTAGCCGATGACAAATATTTATTTGTCGGTTAATTTTATAACAGAGTCCCAGCTGATATTGTAATATTTTTATTGCAAGGGCTAAGTATTTAATTAATCTGTGTCAAAAACCAAAACAAACATGTACCCCAAAAGCAAATTAAAATGATCACATAGAAAACAGCTGACCATGTTACTTCTTAATTAATATTCATTAGTTGAAAGAACATTACTTTTAATCCAGTTTCTACGCCGTTCTATAATTAGTTAATTGCCATGCGCATGCAGTAAGTGCGTGACGTAAGGAAAACCCCTAGCCTGATTGGTCGCTATTTATATAAATACTTAAAATAGTAACACCCTAATTTTATGCAAGGAATGCCCTCATGAATTATCAATCTTTACGATTAGTTTTCGTATCAAATAAGCGATATTTGGACAAGTAAATGTAAGTCGACAATTCTTGCTTCTTCAACTGAGATCATGCAAGTCGACAATTCTGGCTTACATGCGGTAATCGATAAAGCATTCAATTTTCGCTAAGAACTATCGAAGAATGAGAATAGTCGGCGAAAGTTGTTTGCAAAAAGATTAACTCAAAGAAACATTAACATATACAACAGAAAAAGTTTTTTAATTTAGTACATTTTACGGATCTGTGATTGCTTTAAATTAGAGCTAAAAGTACCGGTTTTCCAAGTCTGTACCGCGGTACGTACCGCAGATGTCTCGGACCGTGGTTTACCGGTATACCGGTTAAACCGCGCACCTCTACCTAAAATTAAACTATTTTCCACTCTTTTTTTCCCCCCCAAAGAAAGAGATTTAAGTATAACTACATAGATTGATATGTGGTTACAGACTGATGACACTCTTGAAAATACTCAAATGCTTTAGCAATACAAACTGTTCAAGTTCAAAAAAAGAATGATTCCAGTTATGAGCCTAACTCAATTATCTTCAATTATTTTATGATTAAAGTTTCAAATGAGTATTTTCAGTGGTTGCAGAGATGAAACTTACATGCAAAACTTAAACCATCAAGTTCATAAAGGTCTACAATTCCATAAAATTCCAAACTATACTATAGATAGAAATTATGAAAAATGGTCTTCAAACATTATCCTGCCAATTTATGTGAAAGTTTCAATTGAAAACCAAAAATAGCTACATGAGAAAACTTTGACTAAATGTTAAAACATAGGAAAGACAAGGCTTACAGTGAAAAGGAGAGCCAATTAGAAAGTCGGCAACAAAAAGTAAAATTGGCTTCAATTTGTTTGGACTTTTTTTTTATGCCAATTTTAAAACCTTTTTCTTTTATCCCGAGGTTGGTCAATCTTACAGGCCTTCTTTGATAAATGACCAGTAATTACCAATTTCTTTGCAAATGACTGACCAATTATCACACATGATTTCTGAATCAGCGGTGAGAGACAAATAACCCGTCATTACAAGTTTAGGAGGATGAGAACTTCACAAGCTACCTTAAATCCTATTAATTTATGTTTGTATTAGACCTACTTGATTTCCTCTTCTTCCTTTTCCATCTGAAGCTGAGCAAGAAGTTCCTCATACTTCCTGTATTTCTCAATCATTTCTTCTGTATTCACCTGGTTCTTTTTAGAGTTTATTTCCCTCAGTTCTTCCAGTGTGTCAATCTGATCCATCTCAGCTCTACTCGCCTTTGTTCTATTCTCTAACATCTAAAATTTATAAATTTAAAATCGCTACATTCAATTGAATGCCTTGCAACAAATATTTATTTGTTCATATTTTTCAATAATTAAAAGTACCTTTTAAGTGTCCTATGCTAACTAAATTAATTCATTTGTTTGATAAATTAACTTGACAATACTTTTACTCTTTAAACTCAGTTGAAAAGTTTGAGAATTTCCAATCACATGTACGCGGTTAAAATAACTGTTTATAGTTGCAAACAAGGAAAACAACTCTGACAAAACTGAAATAATCCATATGATATGCAAAACCTCTGATGCACAACTTCACATGCTGATCAACATTCCTGTATAGCTTGTTGGCTCTAGATCTCTAGATCAAGCACTTTTAGAGCTACATGTGACACAACACAAGAACTGACAGACAAGGGCAAATCTAAATCCCTCAGAGTTAGGGCACAAAAACAGCCAAAGAGACATAAATAGGCAGCTTTGTGTTGTACTATTACTGTATTATTATTGAACAAACCTTCATCGGGTTCATCTCATCCTCCTCTTTGGCTTTTCTCTCCTCCTCTGCCATCTGTTGAGCTATTTTCTCAGCCTCAAACAACCGTTTTGCACCGGCCTCCAGGGTATAGTCTGTTCGCTCCAAGTCAGTCTACAATAACAATATATTTCTGTTAATCATCTTTCTATTCTTTAGCAATAATAATGATTGCTTATATAATTTGAGCATTTGTACATTCTTATCAGAAATTATGCCGTCACCTGCTTTGTTTTAGAATAGAGATGTTTAAATCATTTCCATTAACCAGACATTCAAAAGGGCTAATTATCTCAGCTCTTGACTTTGTATTTTCACAAATAACATCTGTTTTTTCTCATAAAAGACTGTATAACTACCTGACCCAGGGCCTGGCCAACACTGATCCAAAGGGGCATGATTAATACCAGTTTTATAGAGGCCAACAAGGCAATGCTGTTACATGTCAAAAAATATTTAAACTCCATGAATTGAAGTTTCACTAAAATGTCACTCAAATGTGTTTTCATACACAAAAATATATTAAGTGAAAAACTCCCAACAGTTTCAGGTTCTTAAGTAACTAATCTTCAGACATAGTAGTTTCATACAATTAACTTGAATGTGTTTTCCTATAATGTGTTTTCCTATATAAGTCTATATAATCAAATAATCTTTAGTGCAAGGCCAATTTTGATCTAAGGAAGCCCAAACCTGGGTTCTGCACATTCATCGTTGTCTTAATATAAGTAATATTTCTGCCAAAAAGTTTTCATTTCTTTCTATCGGTTCAAAAGATAAAGAATGAACACACAATTTGGAAATTGATACAAAATGACTAAGTGTGACCTTGACCTGATGAAGGTCAAACCTGCCTCTCTTCCATTTGTTCAAAAGATACAGACTTGACATGAAAACGGTAAACAGACAGGCGGATGACCAGTTGCATAAAATTTTACATCAAAATTTTTTTGGGTGTATGAACTGAATCCTCAGCATTGTAAACCTAGAACTGCAATATAAACTAGTTCAGAAAACTACATACCTTAAAGGCTATCTCTGAAACACATGTTGGACACTTAATGTAGAACCGGAAAATTTTCAGACCAAGATAGTCTTCATCCATTACGTCCTCCTTCCTTGAATTAAACTTCTTCCCTTTATAGATGTATCCTTTACACATATTGCACCTAGAATAAAATGGCTAAAATTAATTTTCAATACACACAAAACATACTTTTTCTGTAATCTTTCAAGTATTATCTAAAAGGAAGGTAAAAGGCACATTATGCCTCAGAAATCCATATTTTTGAAATGCCACAGATGTGTTTAATAATATTTAAATAATGTATAAAGTGTACGTTAGATGTTTCAAAACTGCAAACGTAGCACCAAACATGCAGTCATGTATAGTAAAGGTAGTGAAATGTAAATAGAGTAGTATTTTGACTTCCATGAAAAATATTAATTCACTATAATTATAGCAATTGCCAACAGAACTAATAATGAAAAACATAATTAATGCATATAGCAAATAAGTATGTTTTTTGGAAACTGTAGCAAGAAACAAAAATAATTATTTTTCAGAAATAAAAATTATAGCATTTATACTGGGTGTGATTTTGGCAAGGGAAATCTATATCCACATGTTTTTAAATATCGAATTACAAAAGTAATATAAATATGTTGCAAAATTACCTGTTTGCTGCCAGAATTACATTACAAACTAAACAAGAGCTGTCGGAAGGACAGCACGCTCGACTATTCTAAGTGCTTGATAGTAAAAGAGCCTTGATTATGTTAATTTTTTTAAGTTCACAAAAGGGCTAATTTTTTTTTATAAATTCATGTTATAGGCCTTAGAGAGAGTCTAATTATACAGTATTGGCTTGACCAGGGCTCTCACTAGGATTTTTAAAGTAGGAGTCCAGGACTCCCAAACTGAAAAAAGTAGGAGTCCCCATGAAACAAATGTGGAGTCCTAACTCTACCAACCTAACTATACTGCAGTATGTCATATAATCAAGAAATACAAAGATTTTATCAACTTTTATTATAAACACAAGTTAAATCATGTTAAAACAATTACATAAACAGTACTGACTTTTGTAACATTTCAACAAATATGGTATATAATGCATTTACATAGATACATTTATAAATAAATACACAGTACATAGTGCATGTTGCAACACATGAAAGTAGAACCCTAACTTTATTGCATATACTTATAAGTTCAGTCAAAGCAGTATTCAAATATACACAGTTTCAACATTTCAAAAAACCAACCAGTATTCAAAAGTACATAGTAACATACACAGTTTCAAAATTTCAAAAAAACTAACATTTCCAAAAAATTCAATTGGATATAATATACAAATATACAAACAATATACATTTATAAAGACTCTCTACATTGAATCTCTTAGTCTATCAAGCAGACTTGAATGCATTGGTGCTTCAGTAACATAGACACATGAACATGAGCAATAAATCAGACACACATTGACATTTGCACATTTTTTAAAGTTTACTTCCTTCTCTTTTTCATTTGGCAGAATTTTACAACTGCAGGCACAGGGTTGAATGCCTCAACCTCAGGGCCCTCTTCAATGACTCTCAAATTTTTAAACTGGTTGGGGTTGAGCAATGCCCCCTTTTGTTTTTATTTTTATGGACACTGAATCCACTTCAAGAAAACAGTGTTACGGGGGATCAAGACAATACTGCCCAAACAAATCAGGAAAAACATCACAAATTTTACAAAAAAAGTAAAAACAAGTCTGCAAGTAAAAGTAAAGGATTCAAATATTTTCACCTGAATAATCTAAAACGCCATCTTTTTATAAACCAGACTCACCCCCAAAAAGTCAAAAATTTTTTTAAATTCGTTTCCATCTTTAAATCGAAATTTTTTGGGGAATTTTACTGGGACACAACACTTTTTTAAAAGCTGAAATTTTTTCATTGTTTTCTTTTTAAAACATCTCATTTTTGTTTTTTTTTAGATACAGAGATGTTGTATTTTGAAACTGCATCCTCAACTGTTCTCTGTCAGTCAATTTGACATTGCGGTACATGCCATTATTACTTATACCATTGTAGGTCTTCTCTAATTCTGGTCCATTTGAATGTTTGAATTGATTCAATTTCAATACTGTCGATTCTACCATGACATTTACAGTCTCTACATCAACACTGTCTCTCTGAAATATCTTTGACAATTTACACACTACAGATAAAACATCTTTCAAGAAGGCTGACACAAGGACAAATGTCACATTTCTCACCTTAGTTAACAGACCCTTTGCGTCAGCATTACCCTTGGCGGCTTCATGTTCCAGAGTGTTGTAAACAGCAGGAAAACAGTCTATGATAGCAAGAACTGCACCTTCAAGCGAGAGCCAACGGAAACTTGCTGGTTCTTTCAATGTGAGATACAACATATCTTCATCTTCTAATAACTGTGACATAGCACGAAGCTCATTGTATCTAACTGCTGAATTATTGAAAAATTTGTAAATAAGTTTCAGTGTCTGCTGATACTCACTGAGTAGAGGGACATCCCTGCATGCCTGTCCAGCAGCTAGAGCCAACCTATGTGCGACACAGTGAATCTGAATCATATGTGGGGAGAACTGTTTCAGTCTTACACCAACACCATTGAGTCTACCAGTCATCACAGAAGCCCCGTCACTAGCTAATGTTATCAACTTTGAAATGGGAATGTTCTTATTTTGGAAAAGCTTCACAATTTCACTTACTATGGTCTCTGCTTTTCCATCTGGTACACTGATGCAGTCAAGGAAATTAATGACAGATTTATTACTAGTATCAACACATTTCACATACACATTCAGTTTCTTAAACACAGTTATGTCTGTGCTTTCGTCAACAATGAGTCCTATGAAGTCTGACTGTGAAATATTTTGATTGATTTTTTCTTCAAGTGTTGAATTGATGGCATCTAACAACTCAGCTTTAGATTCTTCACTGGTGTAAAGCTTTGATGAATCTTGTAGATCTGGACATTTGTTCTTGATCTAAAATATGCAAGTATGTTAATTCTTTAGGCTTTATGAGAAACTTATTTAAAAGAAATATTTCAAGTAATTGTGAAAACTTAATATTTCATGTAATGTTAAAAACATCAATTCTTTAGAAATTTATATTTAAATTGATCATGCCTTTTAGACTGAATTGGCGGTAAGTTATTTTAGAAACATAAAGAATTTGAGTTCTTTAGAAACATCATTTATTAATAAATTATTAAAACATTACATTTTTTGGGCTTACTCACTGTACTTATAACATTTCACAAAAAGAAATAATACTTACTTGTAATTTGAGAACTTTGTTGTACTGACTCAGTGGTTGACCTTCTTTGGCTATGTAATACATGGTATTCATCTGTGCTTCTTTGGTTGCGTCACATTCAACCCTACTTTCATTATCAATAATAGTCTCAACCACCTACAATTACATAAAACTTATTAGTATCATAAACATACAAAACTCGTCAATATTATGAAATATATAAACATAATAATACATGTTCTAATTTATAGATTAATTATTGTATGTATATTTCCATCAAATACAACTGAATAAAAAATAGTATTTATAAATTACATTTGTCAAATGAAACTGTATTAGGAATTTAATGTAAGGGAAAGTACTTTTTTATGGTTAAAATATTACCTGCTTAATCATTTTATTTTGTTTCTTGTGTTGACGAGCCTCAGCTGCCAATAGGTGGTCCTTAGTTTTTTCGTGTCTGCTGAAGGTTGAACTCTGTAAGTTTGGAGTTCCAGTTGTAGCCATAGAGTTGGTTCTTTTAGAATCCTTACACCACGTACATAAAGCTGAAACACTTCCATCTTTGTTAGTGCTTTTTTCCAACCACGGAAAAGTCCTATTCCAGGCATCATTCCAGGAATTTCTTTCTTTTTTAGCCTTTTTGGCTGATATTTCATTTTCACATTCGGAAACATCATCAGGTTTTTTCCTTTTCCCAACAAATTGAAACAAAGTTTGTTGTGACATTTTTAATTTCCAATTTCCAATTATACAGTATCCACAATCATTTATAACACCAAAGTCATTCAATAAACATTTACTGTCAAATAACATGTCCACGATCTGTTGACCAACATTTATATCGGTAAACGTATCCATTGTTAAAATAATTAAAAGCAATTAAAAATCGAGTAGCATTAATTAGTCTTTTACGCGAGACACCTGTGAAAAACGCATGCACAAGTCTCCATCAATTATCCGTCAATTATCCGTCAAACAATCAATTATTAAGAATCAGCACATATGACTTCAAACGGTCAATAAAATCAACACCGCAATTTCCACTGATTGACTATGCCGTGTTTGTCGCATGCCGAAACATCATAAACACGCGACCTCAGCTGCAATCAATTAGATTATTGGAAAAACTTGCGTCCTGATTGGCTGATGATGCATTGCAGTTGACAAGCGTAAAGCCCCGCCTTAAAATTTACACATTAGCCGCTGTGTATTGCATATTAGAAGGACGCAGTGACACGCGGATTTGGAATTTTTATGCGTACAAGGGACTGACGATTGGATATTTTAAGCGTCCTTTTGCAAAAAGTATGCGTAAAAATACGCTCAAATAAGCGTTTCCGAGAGCCCTGCTTGACTATTCGGAAGGTAATGTCACAAGGGTGTTTTATTGAATATAATAATACTAATTACCTATGAAAAATAAATTTGACAGACAAGGTACAAAGGCTTGTTATTAAGATGTTTTATCAAGAAATCACTGCTTTATTATTATGAATGCATAAAATTGTCCCAAAAAAGGCACAAAGTGACAAACCCTTCAGTAGTTATTGAGATAACAGCTTACAAACAAAACTTTACCATGAATTTCTAAGTTGAAAAAGGGGAGAAAAATCAGCCTAAATGCAAGATAGAATTATGGATCTTTGTCAGTGACCTACAATTATAACCCTAAATGCATATGTGAAGTTTTAAATAAATATCTTTAATAGTTATTGAGATATGTAAAACTTGCATGTAAACATTAACCAAGAGACTAAGTAGAAAAGGGATATGAATCAGCCTTAATGCAAGATAGAGTTATGGAACTTGGTCAGTGACATACAATTATGACCCTCCAATTATGACCCTAAGTGCATGTGTAAAGTTTCAA